ATTTGAATACAGGAATTTGTGTGTGTGTGTGTGTGTGTGTGTGTGTGTGTGTGTGTTTGTGTGTGTGTGTGTGTGTGTGTGTGTGAGACGCAATCCGGTCGCAGAATTCATGCAGTTTACTTACAGTTGTTTCTTCATCATGCATTGATTTCATAAAGCAAAAATGACACCTGTTGGGTAAAAGTGGACATCCTTAAATGTTGTGAAACGAGCGTCAGTTAAGCTTAGAGCTGCATCATGCAGAAATATTCACTTCAACTGTCTTGCAATAGTATTCAGCATAAATACACGTAGAATTTTTGCATGTTGTGTCACGTTACAACAAAGTTTAAAAAAAGTTAAAGGAATTTATATGCTTGACCAACACAAAGTACATAAGGAGATTTCTAGATGGTTTTCAGTATTACAAAAAGTCTTACAAACAAAAATCTGAAAAGGTTGCCCAGCATATGTTATTCACCCTTCTTTACTTTGAAACCCACAAATAAAATTTTGGGCAGCTAAATTACCTGTCTGGTAAACAATTGTCCATCTGTGTGTAATTTAATAAAACAGCTGTGGCATTATTATGGTTTTATGATTCAGCTAAAGACTTGAATTTTGGATGAAGCATCATCTTCTGGCAAGATGACACTAAAGAAAGAGTCACAATAGAATGCTAAGATATATTATAATGTTTTCAAATGATCTGATCAAAGTCCAGGTCTAAACCTAATTAAGAACCTGTGGCCAGACTTGAAAATGAATGTTTAACGATGCGTTTCATCCAGTTTGTCTGAAGTTGAGCTGTTCTCAAAGAGGAAAGCTTTCAGTCTCTAGATGTACACAGCTCAGAGACATGCATGTGGCTTCCAGAAAGCAAAATGTGGCCAGATGAAGCATCAACTTTTATTTTTTAATTGTGCACCATTGCAGTGGCATTTAACTTAAAATCCAGATACAACATTTTGAAGTTTCTAAGTGTAGGGACGGTTTTCTAGCAAGAAAAATTAAAAAACAGCATGAAATGCCAGCAAAAAGCTAAATAAAAAAATTGTCCAAGTGTGTTAACTGACATTAGACAGTGTTCCCCGAGTCTGCACCACACCCCCAATAAGAGCATCTCTCAGCAGGTCAGCAGAGGGGTTGATAGGTGGGTCACCTCATTACGACCACAGACTCCCCGCCTCTTCCTGCCTGCCACCCCGGCTCCGCTCATCTTGTCCCACCCTTTCTCCTCATCCAACCTCTCATCAGCGATCTTTTCCTGTCATCACACACACGCACACACATCAGACCGTCACACAGCGGTCTGATTGATGAGGCCACTTTTGATAATGGCATCAGGAACTGGGGTGTCTGCCTTGTCATTAGATACTATCAGTGCTGTCTTATTACAGCTGGGGAAGACCCGAGGCAGGCAGACGAGTTCCTCTGTGTACAGATATGGCCATCTGATAATGAAGCTCTGCATCAGTGTGCTCTAATATACCTGGCTGAGTTAATCCATCCATCACAAATGCCAAAGTTCAGGGAGCTCCTTCGCATACTATAAACTTCCGACTGTCAAGGTAACACCTGCACTTGAGGAACCAGCACAGAAATAAAACATGGTGACGTGGTACCTTGATCCCGAAAATAATGTGTGTTTTGCAAAAGTTACTGAATGCTGAACCTGATTGGATGCAAAACAGGAAATGTAATTACTGCTCACGATCTCTGCATTCAAAACTTTCTCCATATGGTTTTACAGATACTATGTGTGGTCATGTAGCAGCTTGTCAAATGACAAAACAGAAGCAGAGAGAGACAATGTGTTTTATTTTTTAGTATTCTCTAAAAAACCTTTGAGATTTTCACAGAACAGCTGGGAGTCAGCTACACCCAGGTGGAATCTTCTAATTTGTGACTTTTTAGAAGAAATGACTAATTATAAAAACCTTGCATTAAAACATAAAATATTTAACGGCCTTTCATGTCTCATTTTTAATAACAGATTTTATTTGAATATTCCTTAAAACCAGGAATCACCTCTAAATACAAAGCAAGTTTAATACAGCAACTATTGCACCATGAATCAAAAGATTGTTGAAACAACTTTCGTTTACCAAGACCAAATATTACACCCAACCCGATTTTACAATTGCCTAAGATTAAAGCAACCAAGGAAACACAAATCTGAATCAGAGAACTTGAAATGTCACTTTGTGTTGAGAATCTCGCAATTCACTTTTGCATTAAGAGTTACTACAACAACTGACCAGAGACAAAAATGTTGTGAAATATATCCTACTTTAATTCTGGGAGGGTTTTTCAAGTAAACATATGATTAGTAAAAAAAAAAAAAAAAAAAAAAAAAAAAAAAAAACATGTCCATTCTTTACTTGGAAAAATACAGATTGCATGCCAACTAAATTTAGTACCAGAACCCGCTTTCAATCCCCAGGCCTCAAATGAACAATAGTGATTTGCGTTATCTGGAAGGTTTCTTTTATTTTAGAACAAAGGTGAAGCAATGATCAAAAGACTGCAAAGGCGAAGGGGGCCCTGCGAGCCAGGATAAGAACAACACTCACAAAGGCCCCGGCTCACCGGTGAAAGAATAACTGCGGTTTGAATTATGGATACATCTGAATGGTGTCTCCTCTCCACAGATGGCTGCACACATGAGAATCCCAAGGCCTGTATAATTGTATTGCTAATAAGGAGCAAAGCCAATTAGGCATTTAAGTGTGCTGTAATCACTTGGAATGGAATAGGTGAAGAGACGACCCATGGAGGAGATGGAAAATCAGGCCGTCGGACAAATGAATGCCTCCACTAATTCCTCAGCACACTGACAAATATAATTAGACATAAACTGTGAGCACTGAAAAGTCCCCACTGGGAGTGAAAACCTTCATGGAGTTTTATAGTTCCTTACCCCGTTCTTCTGCTTTGTGTTTGTCTGAGAAGTCTTCATGAGAAGTAAAAGAAGACAGAAGGGTTTACTGTACTGCAAAGTGCTTTATCACAACCAGATAAGAATGCGTTCATATTCAGAATGATGATTTATCCTGCTTTGAATTGGATAAATTATGCACATTTTCCAAATCTCATGCTTTCAAAGGACTAACAGAACAAACCAAAGCATAATCTACACAACAAAATTAAATGTTTGCAGCATTAGTTGTTCAGGGGGCTGGTGTACCCGTGTACCAACTGCACAGACGGACCATAAAATTCTCTAGACAAGCTGTCTGTCACAACATTTGTTTGCCAGACTACATTCTTTTTCTGCCACAGAGAGTGGCAGTAAAAAGGGTCAAATTCTCCGAGCCGCATTGCAATGCTCTCTCAAATTGCAATATGTCTGTAGTCAAATATGTTTAGGGGCAGGATTGTCAGCACAAAGCCGGGTGCTGGGTGCTTTTTTTTTTTTTTTTTTTTTTTCCATGTTCTGGAACTTTTTAGAAATCAGCCGGCCGGGAGGACAAAAGGCCGGGACGTCTACGAGGACTATCAATACATTTAAACAGGGGCATGCATTTCTCATAAAGCAGCTCCAAAAGCGGTGCGAGCCAATCGGAGGAGAAAGAGGGGAGTTGTGAGGGGGGCGTGGGGGGTGCTGCTGCTTGATCAACCCATAAAGGGAAACTCAGTTATGAACAAGAGAAAGAAAAAGAGGAAGAAAGAGCTGGGTGAAGGGGGAGAGGGAGAAGAAACTGAAAGAAAAGGTCATGAGTGGCAGTTGATTTGAGGAGTTTCTGCGACCCCACAAAAGGGCATGACATCATCAGGTATTGAAGTGAGAGCTGAGGAGAAGGGGTTCTTTAAAAAGCTGCCCGCTTTCCGAGGCCGTAATTACATTTGTGCTAAACATGCCCAAGTGCTCCTGCGCTGAGGAAGGGGGGGATCATTTTTAGAGGTGGGGGCTGAATTAATCAGCTCTGTTTGCTATGCAGACTCTAATAAAAAAAATAAATAAATAAAAAACTTTCTCACCAAAAGCCAATTTTTCCCAACTTGTTCTTGTTCTGTGTCATTAAAGTGCACTTAGTTCTTTAAAATTTCTGACGTTTTTGGTCAATTGTGAGCATAAAACCATTATGTCACAAGTAGAAAAAGAAATTGGTTTTCCCAGTTTCGCACCACCTCTACAGACCCCTTCAACTTTGAGCTGGTCTACTGCACTGGGAGCTTATAAAGCCCTTGCAATGCATGCTGGGTAGGCATGGCGTGAAGTGTACAAGGAAGGAATGCCATTAAATAAGTTATGCACATAATGAATCTGAGCAATGCTTGGGAAAACTTCAGCAACATTTATTCCTCTTTCAGTTTATCCTCCTCCTCAGTGAAAAAGAGCAGTCCGAGTTGGGAATACAGTAAATCATTCTTTAGTTCTGCCGGCGCAGTTTTCACCCAAGGCCACTGCCCACAAAGTCTTCATCTATTTACAACCACGCTGTGAGTCCAACCTAGTGTCAGCTTCTTAAACAGGCTCCTAATATACAATGCTCCCCCTGTTCATTGTGTTACTTTTTTTTTTTTCCACAACAGCAATGAACCTAAATAAAGTCGGCATGTAGCTCCAAATTGCCAGAATCCTGAAATGTGTTTTAGCCGCCATCTAACACGCAGGGTGATATAAATCAAGCCTGCACAGTTGTGGTGACTGTGCTGTGATGTGAGGGTGACAAATTCATCAGTCTTATGATATTTGCGGGGCCTGGGGCTTTCCCCCCCTGCTGCTGACATGCTAGAGTGCAACATGACGTGTCATCACTACCCTGACAGACCCACAGTGGCTGCGCTGCGGCACATTCAGTCAGCAAATTCAATTAGCTTTCCCACGACGATACCGCCCTGCTGTCAGAGTGGCACACTGTAATATGATAAAATTATAGACAAACACTTCCCTTAGGAATGAGAGTGCCAAAAATCAGACAGCGGCATGCTAATCCCGAGCTGACAGCTCACTCACTGCATAGTTTGATCCATCATCTTCACAGTGACTAAACCGAGAATTCTTCCGCTGACAGGAAGTAGAAGATCCATTTGATTACAAACATTTATGCCAGATCTTTTGGACTGCAGGCTAGTTTTGTACAGCAGGCCTGTTTTCACACGCTGCTTAGGAAGTTTAGTGTCTGGCAAAAGAACCAGAACTAAACATTTTTTCACATTTTCTGGTATAATCACAAAATTAATATGCTTTACTTGACTTTTATTTGATAGACCAAGAACAGATATGTGCGTAATTATGAATTGGGAAGAAAAGTATTATTTTTTTTAACAATTAATTATTTGAAAAGTGTGGCACTGATTTAGATTCCTTGCTGAAAAAGCTAATTTCACCCACTTCAAATATTTATAAACTTTGCACATTGTAGAACTAAAATTTCTCCATTTGTCTTAACAAAATAGCTCAAACACAGTCAGACTGCATGGTGAGTTATTTTTTCTCAACACAATTTGCTAAGAGGTGTCATTAAATTTTTTATTGGGCTTTGACTCTGGGTAAATTTAACACCATAATAAGCTTTGATCTATATTTGGTCTTTGTGCCGGAAGAATTTTGCATCTTCCAACTCCTTCCAGCTTCATCCATCTTTACATCAAATCTGTCCATCTTCCCTGTTGCTATTGAAGAATAGCCTTCCCACAGCAGGATGCTGCCAACACCATGTATCACCGATAAGATGACGCACACCCAAAACTACATGGCTTGTGAAAGACAGTATTTAGTATGACTGTTTTTCAACAATAGTTTTGTTCTTGCCATTCTTCCATAAAGTCCAGACTTTTTTTGTGCACCACTATTCCCAAGAGTTACTTTTCTGATTAATGCTATCCTTGAACATATTGATCAATAATCTAACTTTGTTTTAAGATTCTCCACTTGTGAAATATTTTTACTAATAAATTTAACTACTTGTGCTGGATTTTATGTGAAACAATGTTGAGTTTTCCTTTCACTTCACACTTTGTGTGCTTCTTTTTGTTTATCACATGACATCAGATTAAGATGCACTGAAGTTAGTGGTTGTAATGTGGTAAAATATGAAAACGTCCAAGGGGTGTGAATACTTCTGCAAGCCACTGCAAAGCAAAAGTAGAAAAATTGCAGAAAACTGAGGTAGCATTGCTTTTTCAGAGATTCTCTAAGACTTTGCTTTTTCAGCCAGTAATGATTCTCCATGCGATGAATTGGATCTCTCCAACCTCCAGCTCTGATCCATTTTCTCTTTGCCTTGATCTATTTTATGGATGTTCCTCCATGATTGCTGCATGTTGCCATCAATGATTTTTTTTCTTTATTTCTCCGAGGACCAAGAACACCTGTCTGCTTTAATCACTAAGTCCTTCCCAGCAGGAATGCCATCACTGAATGGACACCAGGCTGTTATCTGACATTGATAGAAACAACATCATATGGATTTCGTATTTGACAGCAACAAAGAAGTGGCAAAAAAAAAAAAAAAATCAAGAAGAGAATCAGTCCTCATACAGCCTGCTGCCACATGAGTCATTAAAATAACAGGAAGGCTGCTGGAGACTCAGCAGTGATTCATTACATAAACATGAAACATGAAAACATATTTTTTCACGAGTCACCCTTATTAAATGGAGGGTCGTACTGATATTAAATGTGACACATGTATGATTTTCCTAGAAGTTGTGTTAGTCATCAGAACCATAAACCTGCATAATTTTCAGTAAATTCCCAACATGAATGTTTTATTCTTAAAGCGTTCATGTGTAGTTTTCAGATAGTTTTCTGTGTTTTGACTTTTTTTCTGCAACACTGGAAAATTTTATGATGTCCCTGTCCCCAATGACATCATTTCAGGATGATGTCATTGGGGACAGGGACATCATCATTTAACCTATTCATAGGTTAAATATTTAACATTTAACCTATATCGTTACTGAATGTGTTCCTGACAGGTTAAGATGTCTCTGTTTGCCCTGCTGGACAACAGCCTTGACAGCTATGAAATAATCTACCAGTAAGGCTAACAACAACACGGTTTTTGTGGCTGATAAACTAATCAACTGTGGCTCAGTTTGACTGAAGACAAGCCAAAGTTTGCAGAACCCATCAGCGTGTTGCCGCTCAATGGAATTTTTCTCTGAACACAAATAATGACTAAAGTTTGCACAGAGATGAACAGATGGTTTTATCAGGTTTTCATGGAAAACAATTTGTCCTTGAATGAACACAGTTTGTACACATGGACTTTTATGAAAGATCCCATTTACAAATTCACATGAAACTTCCCCACCCACACACATCCCCTAAGTGAGAGATAAGCGTAGGAGATTAATCAATATCTAACTGAACCGAAAACACTGGCACACACATTCGGAGTAGCTTGTCTTCACTCCACTGGCTACACCTTTAGTGCTACTTCAAAACATAACAAGTCCTTCTAAATTTTACTAGTAATTTTTTTTTATAATAATTTGTTATTACTATTGTGTTGTTATAATCATAACCAGGGAGACTGAAAGAATACTTCAAATTAATTGTGTCAAAGTTCATGTGGAGTCAGTGGGATATTATCTGCTTTGTATGATTAAACTGATGCCAGACCAAAGGAGAGGGCAGGAACATCCGAGTCTAGCAGTTTATTTCTTGTTTTAAAATGGTAAAAAAAAAAAAAAAAAAAACTGCCGTGCCATATGATATACATGGAGTTCATTTTACTTGCTACTGTTCAATTTCTTATAGAATAGTCCTTTATGTATCCCACAGTGGGGAAATTCAGTTGTTACAGCAGCACAGTAACAAAATATAGACCACTAAACATAAAAATACCTACAAACAATATAAACAGCTGTATGTGAAAATATGGGAGATTTTTAAATACACAATATCTACTTTTGTACATGGTATATTTGTAGACACAAAAGCATTCAATCACATAGCAGCAAGCTGATGTGCATAAGCATATAGACAGGATGAAAACAACTACATGAAGTTTAATATTACTGTCAGAATGGGGATGATGGGGATTTGTGTGACTTTGAATGCGGTATGGCTGTTTGTACAAAATAATTAGGTCTAAATATTTCAGAACCTCCAGAACCCTTTGTGGTACATAATGGTTCGAAGAAGAGGTAATTATCCAGTAACATTATGAAATGCCTTTTTGGTGACAGAAGAAGTAGCTCAAACAACCAGGTGTTATAATCAAGGTATTTGAAGGACAACTTCTTAAATTACAAACTTTGAAGTAGATGTACTTCAGCATTAGAGAGCCACACCTGGATCCACTACTGTCGGCTAAACACAAGAAGCCGAGTCTAAAATTCACACAGGATATACAAAATTGGATAATTACAGATTGCAAAAATGCTGACCAGTCTGGTGAGCCTCAACTTTATCTGCAACATGCAAATGTTATGGTCACAATTTGGTGTAAATAATAAACCATGAACATATCCTGCCTTGCACCAACGGCTCAGGGAGTTTTTGATGTAATTGTGTGGGAGACACTCTTTGGGCCCCTTGATATTGTTTGAACGTCAGATTTGACCTGTCCACCCCCTTTTGACCACAGTGAAACCATCTCTAGCCGGAAATTCCCACAATGTACCATGTTATAAAACTCAAATTATTACTGAGTGCTTTTTTGAACATGACAATGAGCTCCTTGTCCTCAAATGACTTCCACAGTCCCAAAGTCTCAACCCAGCCAAGTATCTTTGGGCGTGTCAGACCAAGAAACTCACGACATGGATGTGCAGCTTGCAAAATCTGCAGCAAAACTGGTGAGGAATATTACCAACCCCTTGTTGAATCAATGATACGAAGAATAAGATATGAAGTCCTGAAAGCAAAAGAGGGTTTGGCATGATTTTTGGTGGATATTTTGGTGCTCATCTTGGTTGAATTGTTAAAGTTATTTAAATCGGTTGACTTCCTGGGTCTTCTAAGCACCTATAGATCTGCTGCTGCAAAGATTTTTCATTTAAGTTTATTTATCCCTATGAAACACTAGCTTATCCTTATTATCTTATGGTTGCTACGTCTCTTTGCCTACCTCCCAAAGTGGGTCAGTGGTGCAATAGCCAGTGGTGGGAAGTAAGTACTTCGTTACTGTACTTGAGTACAATTTTCGTGTATCTGTACTTTACTTAAGTAGATTTAATAATGGGTACTTTCTACTTTTATTCCACTACATGGAGGGAACAGGGCTTTCTCTGTCATGGGCCCCAAGTTATGGAACGACTTGCCTTTGCACGTTAGAGAGGCCCCTTCACTGTCCACTTTTAAAGCTCGTCTTAAAACCCATCTATTTTACTTGGCTTTCAACTCCAGCGGGATCTAGTTTTAAATTGTATGTTGGTTGGTTTGTTTTTAAACTGTAAGAGTTTTTATTTTTTTTATTGTTATGTTGTGTTTTAATGTACAGCACTTTGTATCAGCTGTGGTTGTTTTAAAGTACTTTATAAATAAAGTTGGTATGGTATGGTATGGTACATTTTACAGTAAGTATCTGTACTTCCTACTTCACTACATTTCTACAAAACTGTCGTGTTACTCGTTACATCCAAGTCGCATTGTTCTTTTTTGTCCGTTAAAATGTGAAGTTCAGGGACTTAAGGTGGCGCCGTAAAATCCAAGCAATAACATGACTTAGTGTCTGTTGTCACCCATCGCCTCCACCTTTACTCGCACGTGGAGCTCCAAGACATGCGCAGCGGTTTTCTATGAGCGGGAGAAGATGTCTGGCTAATCGTCAGTAATATAATAGCGCTGCATAAATCATAAGATATGGCTTGTAAAATCAGCAGCGCTTCGCTTTCACAGACGGTGGAGACTTCGTCCAACGTTTAGCATCACTTGGAAGGAAAGCTTAAAGAAAGGTAAGATCTGTGGAAGTGATACTAGCAAAGCTAGCTGTACAGAGACACATGTTGCATCTGCGATGAAAAAAAGTTATCACTCATGCACTGAATTATTGTGTGGAGGTGTTGACTGAGGTGTCGTAAGTATGGGACAACGCTGTGACCAAAGTCTGCATTGATATGACATTCAGGAACGATCCGATTCGTCTGGATGGATCTTTACTGATTAAATTTATTTCAGCTCGAAGTATTTGATATCTATGTGTTTTATGGAAATGTGGATCTTTCAGATCAATTTGAGAAGCAATTTTGATAGGTAAACTTAAATTTTTTGTGTCACGTAGCATGGGGTGCTGGTCTTGACTTGGTCTTGGGTAGGTGGTCTTGACTACAACACTGCTACTGGCTCCTTGGTTGCGAGTCCTCCACCACCCACCTTCTTTCCATCCCCTTTCGGTTGGATTTCTTTCAAAATAAATACCAATAGTGGCAAAAAAAGTGAAGTTCATGCTATGTTAGGACAGGAGACGAGATGTTTCCATCCCTGAAAATATGATGCATAGAATCACATATCTAAGTCTAAACTATGCTACAGAGTAAACACAATAAAAACATGCTTTATCTGTGGCATTGTTCATTAAAATGGTACATTTCTAATGTATTAAAATTAAATATGATCGGTTCACTTAATGATATTGTACTAGGGATTAGGTAATGCATTCAGTAAGTACTTTTACTTTTAATACTTAAGTATTTTTAAAAGCCAGTACTTTTTTACTTTTACTTAAGTACAAATGTTAATGTGGTACTTTGACTTTTACTTGAGTACATTTTTGTCTGTGTATTTGTACTTTTACTTAAGTACATTTTTTGAGTACTTTCTCCACCACTGGTAGCGAAGCAGTTTGAAGCTTCATTGCCTCATTAGCAGCCGGTCGCCCCATGTTACACAGAGCAG